AGATGCCTGGGGAGAGAGATGCTCTGGGGAGAGAGATGCTCTGGGGAAAGAGATGCCTGGGGAGAGAGACGCCTGGGGAGAGAGATGCTCTGGGGAGAGAGATGCCTGGGAAGAGAGATGCTCTGGAGAGAGAGATGTCTGGGGAGAGAGATGCCTGGGGAGAGAGATGCTCTGGGGAGAGAGAGGGAGCAGGCTGGGCAGAGGTGTCTTTACCTTGAGGAAGGCCGTGGCAGCTTGAAAGCTCATGTGGGCCACAGAGATCCTCTTGCGGTGGGGCAGGTGGGAATAGCCGCCGGAGCGGACGCTGGTGAAGGAGGTGAGGGACAGGACCCCAGGGGTCAGGGGTGGGTGCGGGGCGTGGGGCCGGTCCACCTCGTCCGTGTGGCGGAACGCCCGTCCTCGGGCCAGGGGATCCACAATCTGGACGGGAGGGAGGTGGTGAGCATAGTCAACTGGGCCCTGGGCCAAGTCATCTGCCGCCCCGCACCCCCCACTGGAGCCCACCTTGGGCATCTTGCAGGGTCTTGGAGACTCGGTGCCCTGGAAGGAGGGCAACTCTTGGCTGGGGAGCTCCAGGTCCCGCTGGCACGAGGCCTTGAGCCGGCCGTAGCGGGCGCTGCAGTGGCGCAGGCTCCTGCGCTGCCAGTGCTGGTGCTTCAGCTCCCAGTCGCTGCTGACCCCGAACCACTGGGCCGTGCCCCTGCGGGAGCAGATGGGGTGGGGAGCAGGCAGGTGTGTGACAGGGGAGCGACCGCAATGAGAGAAAGGTCATGTGCGCAGAGAGGTGACAAGAGAGGTGACAGGGCACGTGTGTGTGCAGGGGAGGTGATGGGCACGTGTGTGTGTGCAGGGGAGGTGACGGGGCACGTGCGTGTGTACAGGGGAGGTGACGGGGCACGTGCGTGTGTGCAGGGAAGGTGAGGGGGCACGTGTGTGTGTGTACGCAGTGGGAGGGGCAGATCAGCTTCCCCTTGACCCCTGGTTTGGTGCCCAGGAACCAGATGGGCAGAGGGGGATTCAAGTCAAGAGCTTGAGGGCTGAGCTGGGAAGGCCCCGGGACCTGCTCTGAAGGGCAGGGGTCCACCTCCAGCTCCCTGACTCCCCTCAGCCTCCTCACTGTGGCTTCCTACCAGGCACAGAGCAGCCTGGGCCTCAGTTTCCCCGCCTGGACCATGGGCTGCCTGCCCGTGCCTCCCGGGAAGGGCCCAGGGCCCAGGTCCCAAGAGTTGACTGGCCCAGGGTGGGTGGGGAGGAGGTGGGGACGCGGCGGGCGTGCTCACTTGCGGATGCTCTGGGACAGGGAGGCCTGTCGGCGGAAGCCGGGGCACTTCTCCGAGCCGCCCTCCTGCCATCGTGCCCTCGGCTCCTGGAGGCTGACGCTCTTCAGGAACGCTGGGTTCCTGGGCCTCTGTGGACAGCGGGCAGGAGCATGGGCTGTGACTGCCTGCAGCCCAGATCCCAGGCTGGCTCTGCTCTGGCTCCCAATGTGAAGACCCAGACAGAACAAACCTCGACCCGAGTCTACCCCAAGCTGCTTTCATTCCGAGGGTCAAATCGTCATTTTCTAGTGTCTTCGGCGATCCCAGCACACGCTTCCCTAGCTCCCTATCCAGCGCTCCTGCCTTAGGCCTTAGCCGTGGCTAAGCCTTGGCCTCGCCTGGCTTTACATGTTTGAAAGAGCCCTTGGCATGAGTGGGCGGCATGAGACAGCCTCCCCGGTGCCCCAGGCTGCGCAGGGAGCCCACGCTCTTTTTTTTTGCGGTACGCGGGCCTCTCACTGCTGTGGCCTCTCCGGTTGCGGAGCACAGGCTCTGGACGCACAGGCTCAGCGGCCACGGCTCACGGGCCCAGCCGCTCCGCAGCATGTGGGATCTTCCCGGACCAGGGCACGAACCCGTGTCCCCTGCATCGGCAGGCAGACTCTCAACCACTGCGCCACCAGGGAAGCCTTTTTTTTTTTTTTTAGCCCACGCTCTTTGCAGCTAGTTCTCAATGAGCTCTTTATGGAACGCTGGTCCGGACTGCTGGCAACGTTGATTCCCCCCCGTTCCCCCGCAGGAGCTGGGCGCTGGGATCCAGCTGCTGGTGCTGCAGGCGCGCTGTGCCCCTTCCCCCAAGTCACAGGCAGCCCACCGCCCGCAGAAGGGCCAGGGCTCGGGCAAGGGAACGGAAACAGCCAATTCCCAGGCGGAACCGGCAAGTGTTTCTTATTTTCCCTGGCCCACCATGAGACAGAGACTGAGCTCAGGGCCCACCCCCCGTGAAGTGTGGGGCCAGGAAGGACGGGGTACAGCCTACAGCAGGGACACAGGGCAGCTGTGGCTCCGGAAGGCCCTCCTCCGGGAAGTGAAACTGCCCGAAAGGTGTCATGGGAGCACAGCGGTGGCCGGTGGCAGGGCGCCGAGCGCCCAGCTGCTCCCTTACCTGGGGCAGCATGCTGGCCTGCTCGCTGGGGTCCGGGGTCCCGGGCGGAGGGATGGCGATGGATAGGTTGGGTGGCTTCCGGCTCTGCAGGCGGCTACTGGACACCGAGGAGACGCTCTCGCCATTCTTGTCAGCGGAGGCCATGGTGGGCGGGGGGGTGGGGCAGCTGGAATGGAAACAGGGAGGGGGCACAGGTGTGTCAAGAGGCGGCAGGACAGGAGGGGACACGGGGACAGTCCAGGGTGTCAGGGTGGTACCTGGGCAGGCAGCCCAGACTGAGAACAACCTGTAGAAAGTTGGTTCAAACCTAACTCTGGATTTCCGGGAAGGGAGGCGAAGGTTGAAAGAAGTGCAGCCGAAATTGTAACCAAAGGAGGCATTATGCTTCCAGAAAAATCACAAGGAAAAGTACTGCAAGCAACGGTAGTAGCTGTTGGATCCGGCTCTAAAGGAAAGGGTGGAGAGATTCAACCAGTTAGTGTGAAAGTGGGAGATAAAGCTCTTCTCCCAGAATATGAAGGCACCAAAGTAGTTCTAGACGACAAGGATGATTTCTTCTTTAGAGACGGTGACGTTCTTGGAAAATACGTCGACTAAAATAAGTCACTATCGAAATGGCATCACGTGAAGCTGCCACTGAAGTTCTGAAATCTTTCATCATGTAAATAATTTCCGTGTTTCTTTTACCATAAAGTAATGATAACCAAACTCATGATATTCAGTGTCTCTGAAATTTAGTTTCTCTGTATTGATTTAAACATTCTCAAATAAAAGTATATCAATGAAAAAACAAAACAGAACAAAAACCTAACTCTGGACACTAAACCATGAAGCAGAGACTGACTCTGGGCTGTGTGGGGCAGGGTGAGAAGGTGTATTTTCATCCTTCATTTGCATTCCAGGGCAGCAGGGGTCTGGGAGGTCCCCAGCTCACCACCTCGTTCCATTTCCAGTCTCTCTGCTTCAGGCAAGGACCTCACCCAGAAAGGAACATTGAGGGCCAGGGATGCAGAGCTGCCGTGATCTTGGCCACCTCATCAGCCTGGCCAGAGCAGGCCAGGGGGCCAGAGGCAGCTTCCTTGGCCAAAGAGCCCTGCCTTCGTCCTGGGGGCAGGGCTTGGGGGAGGACAAGGGGAAAGGCTCCAGGCAGCCCACAGACAAGGGGCCCACAGCTGTGCAGGGAGCAGGTGGTTCTCAGAGGAGAGATCCCTGGGCTTTGAGCAAGGAAGGAGCAGCTCAGCCTAATTCCCAGGTAGATGAGAAAGCCACCGTACCGGTCCCTGTCCCCCAGGGTTGGCAGGTTCCTCTTTCAAAGGAAAGTGAAACTGCCACCTGTCTGGTACTTTTTTCTTTTCACAAAGGAAGAATATTATATCTTAATGATAAAGATGATATATGAACCTTGCCAAAAAAAAAAAAAAGACTCAGAAGACTGTAAAGCAGAAAAGTGAACTCCTGGCCCGCCTGTCACCCCACGTTCCAGGAAAGAGCTCGGTGTGCACCCCTCTCCAGGTGCCTCTCTGCACTTGGAAAAGGACACGTGTACTTAACATTTTACACGCACTCATACCTTTTCTTCTATAGCGTGGACATCCTTCCCTGTCAATGCAGACAGATAGCTTTACCTGATCTTTCTTGATGACTGGGAAGGTTTCACTGAGTGGAATGTACCAAGATTTACTTAATTCCAGACTGATGGTTGTTTAGATTCATGTCCAGTGTTAACGAACACCCTTGCCTATACCGTGTGTACTTGTCCCAGTATTATCGCGAGATGAACTTCTAGAAGTGGAGTTGCTGGATTGAAGAGTAATTGCATCTTGAATTTCAATGGATCTTGCCAAATGGCCCAGCCAGGAGGAAGTAGCAGTTTACCTCCACCTGGGGCTTTTCCATAGCCATCATGGTGCCACTGACACCCACACCCCCTTTGACCCACCAGAACTAACACCTCCGCCTCATCTATTCTCTCCATTTCATCTCTCACACTGCCCGTGACTTTCTTCTTGCTAAAACCCTTCACTATTTCCTCTCCCCACGTCCCAAGGCTGCTGGGGCAGGTTTGATTTCTCTCCCCTCGCACAAGGCCAGGGACCTCACATCCATCTGCCAACTCAGGGGAGAGTCACACAGGAGCCCTCCAGCCATGGGACGGGCGCCGAGGTGTGGGACGGCCGGGCAAGGCAGCAGCCACCTCTGTTCCCAGTCTGTCCGCTCCCCACTCTCTGTCCAGCTCCTAGAAGAGCCACCGTCGCCTCTCATCTGAAGGACCACAGCCTCCAGATTCCTCTACCTGCTGCCCCCCCGAGCTCCCACCCCGGGACCATTTTCCACACGGCGGCAGAATCCACCTTTGAAACGTGCAAATCATACCATGTCACTCCCTGCTCAACGCTAGGCCAGGATCTCCAGCTCTCACTTAAAGCAAAGTCCAAACTTCTCACTGGGGCCTCTGGACCCTTTGTGGCTTTGTCTCCTCCTTGTTCCTTCCCCACCCCATCAGGCCACCCTGGGCCCCTCACCGCCCCACACCTACCAAGCCTCTGTGAGGAGGTGCTGAGGGCTTGTGGTCAAAAGCACAGACTGGAGCCGGGTGGCCAGGGTTTAACCTGCACTTGACCATGGGTCACCCAAGTCCTCACCTTACGAGGGAGGAATAACCCGCTCCGCCGGAGAGGTGTCCTGGGCATCAAACGACTGTACGCATGACACACACTCAGGCAGCGTGGCCACAGAAACTTGTTCAGGAATGTTCACAGCGGCCTGTTCATCACGGCCCAAAGGTATAAACAACCCAAATGCTCACCGACATACAAATGGATGGGGGGAGGGATAAATTAGGAGGTTGGGATTAACATACACACGCCACTATACATAACATAATCAACAAGGACCTCCTGTATAGCACAGGGAACTCTATTCAATATTCTGTAATAACCTATATAGGAAAAGAATCTTAAAAAGAAGAGATAAATGTACACGTATAACTGAATCATTTTGCTGTACACCTGAAACTAACACATTGTACATCAACTATAATATTAAGATTTTTTTTAAAGTGTACTATGATCTGTGGGAAAAAAACATACAAATGGATACAAAAAATGTGTTAATCCACACAGTGGACTATTACTCAGCCACGAACAGGAATGCTACGCTGAGACGGGCTACAATGTGGATGAACCTGGGGGATGTTACGCCAGGTGAAAGAAGCCAGACACAGAGACCACTTACTCCAGGGGTCCAAATACAAGTCCAGAAGAGGCAAATCTATAGAGACAGAAGGATGAGTCGTGGCTTAGGGCTGGGGGAGGGGGCTGGAGGATGACAGCTAAGGGGCGTGGGTTTCACTCTGAGATGGTGAAAATGTTCTACAGTTGACAGTGGTGATGGTTACATACACCTGTGAATATACTAAAAACCATTCAACTGTACACTTTAAATGGATGAGTTTTATGTGAATTACATAAATTAAATGTGAACTATATCTCAGTAAAGCTGGTTAAAAAAAAGTCTCCAGCAGGTGCTCCATAAACGTTGGGCCTCTGCCCCTGCTGGTCCCTTCCTCCCCAGATAAGATCATCACACAGCACAGCAGGTAGCTCCTTCTCATCATTCTGGTCCCAGCTTGAGCGCCACCTCCTCCAAGCAGCCCTCCCTGGCTGCCTGAGGCAGCTCCCCCTCTACCCCATGTGCCTCTCCATCACTTCACCCTGCTCACCTCCCCCGCTGCCCTCTTTCTGACTCATTTGCAGCTGCATCTCCACTGCCAGAAGAGTGCTGGCCCCCATGCGGCATTAGGACGTATTTGTTGAAAATCAGATAAGCAAGCGAGCAAAGCAGCTGGTACCTGGGGTCCAGCCCACTCGGCTACCCAGATTCCTACCTTCAGGGTCTGGGTTGAGCTCACACCTTCCTGGGTCTTGTTGCAGAGGACTTTAGCGCATGTTCTAGTCCTTTCCTCACTCTGCACAGATGTTCTAGGGTGAAGCCTCAGCTCTGCGGAGAGGTGGATGGATGCAGAGACAGAAGGAAAGATGGACGGATGGCTCCAGGTCAAGCAGGGCAGCTCCCTTGGTGCTCACAGCCTATAAGGAAGGGAGAGCAGGCTCAAGGGTGCATGTCAGGACTACTGCACCTTTTGATCTTATTGACCTCAGTCTCCTCATCTATAAAATGGGGATAATTCCACCAGCTTCATAGGTGAGGGATTAAGAGATATATTCTCCTCCTCCTCCCCCTGGAGTAAAGGCCCTTGTGGTGATGAGCTGGATGCTTCAGAGGGCCTGGAGGCCAGCAGCCTCTGGGCATTTACCTAATAAAACCACCTAAAGACCTGGGCTCTGGGCTGGGAACCATAATCAAGATGGTCCCTACTTTCTTTTCCTGTTTCTACAGAACTTTACTAGAAACATTTAACTTTAAAAAACGCAGGCATTATTGGCTATCTTCTGATTAAGACCTGTTTTCAATTAAAGTAAGCCAAATATTTAAGGCAGAGTTCAAATGACTCGGAAATGTTTTGCTGTTGTTTTGGTTCTTTAAATTAATAATTTTTTTTTAAGGTAAAATCCACACAACATAAAAGTGAGAATTAAAAAGCGAACAACTTGGGGACTTCCCTCGTGGTCCAGGGGTTAAGAGACTGTGCTTCCATGGCAGGGGGCACGGGTTCTAGCCCTAGTCGGGGAACTAAGATGCCACATATGCAGCTTGGTGCAAAAAAAGGGAACAACTCCAGGGCAAGCCTTTGTTTTTGAGAAGTCCCGCATAGGGGACATTACCGTGTAGCAGAGCACTGGCAGCCCCGGCTTGGTAGAACGCCGAGGGCCGTCGGGGGCAGGACAGGGTCAGGGCCCCAGGTGGGCCAGGCCTTCCTCGGCCCTTCGCGTGCATTATCCCGCTTTGTCCTCAAAACACCCTTCGAGATAGACATTATCATCGCTTTCATTTTGTGGATAAGAATGGAAGCTCAGGGCTTCCCTGGTGGCGCAGTGGTTGAGAGTCTGCCTGCCGATGCAGGGGACACAGGTTCGTGCCCCGGTCCGGGAAGATCCCACGTGCCGCAGAGCGGCTGGGCCCGTGAGCCATGGCCGCTGAGCCTGCGCGTCCGGAGCCTGTGCTCCGCAACGGGAGAGGCCACGACAGTGAGAGGCCTGCGTGTGGTAAAAAAAACAAAAAAAACAAAAACAAAAACAAAACAAAACAAAAAAAGAATGGAAGCTCAGAGGGGTTGAGTAACTTGCCCAAGCTCACACAGCCAGGAAGGGGAGCAGCTGGGACTCAAACTGCTCTGGCTATAGGGCCTGAAGTCTCCTAGGGAAACAGGCGGCCCCCCCTCCTTAAAGCTGGGGTACACTTCAGGCTGGACAGCCTCCTATCAGGGAGACAGAGTAGAGAGTCCAGCCTGGAGGGAAACTTGGTCGAGCATCTCAGCACTTTGCAAACTGTGTTCCTCAGCGGGCTGGGGTTACCCAGAGGTGCCCAAGGGGCTGCCATGGGGTGAACTGGAGGCCGGGGGAGGGTCTGGGCTCCCCTCTGATTCCATGGGGCAGCACCCCTCTGGCTTTACATATTAGAGCGGGGTCTTTCACTTGGTTGCTGAAGTCGTCCAACTACAGGTGAGAGGAACTCTGGGTGCGGAGGGGGTGCCAGAGAGGGATCTGAGGCAGAGCTGGAGGCCCAGGACGCTCCCTGCTTAAGGCCTGAGCAAGACCTGGACATCACCCTTCTACCCTTAGTGCAGGGAGTCCTGACCCTTCATCCCAGGGCAGACAGGCCGCGGATGATGAGGCCACTTGGAGATCACAGACAGACGGGACGTGGTGCTGGCCTGGCTGGCGCCTCGGACGCCACTCTGCACCACTCTGCGGACAGCTCCAAGACAACAGCCTCACCTGCGACGCCTGCACAGAAAGTTCTCCAGCTTGGCCTCCTCTGGGACCAGGGTACAGTGAGAAGGCACCAGGTGGGTACTGCCCTTGGAAACTGGCACCAAGGAGGGAGGGATGCAGTGGAGGAAGGCTGGTGGTAAGCGTGGGGCTGCCAGGTTTGAGCTTGGGTAAGGTCACCAAGCATGTAGGATCCTTCTGGAGCTCACAGCTGATTACATCTCCCCACAGTCAACACCAGTGCCCTTCAAAGCCTGCCCCACACACCACTGGACACACCACATCCCCCACAGCTCCCCAAGCTCCTGCTTCCTCTCATCTGAGGCCCTGTACCTGGCCCACCAGGCTCCACCCCACCTGCCTGGCCAACACCTACCAGCTGCTTTAAGGAGGGTAAAGTGTCATCTCCTCCAGGGAGCCTGTCACGTTACCACCAGCCAAAATCAACCACTTTCTCATAGCATCCTACAGAGATCTGCCTACATGTAGGTATCTCCCACCCACCCCTGGGCAACACAGGGTCCACAACCCACAACCCAGCCCTGTTAATGGCTAACTGGATGGAAGGCGGGGGAGAGGGTGGGCGCAGGCACGGCTGCAGATGGTCAGTCCACGCTGACCCTGAACAGAAACTGTCTTCCGGAATCCTGCAGCCAGCCCAGGAAGTGGCTCATTCTGGAAGGATCTACCGAGTGCTGCTTGCCCCACCCCTGCTCTGTGACCACTGCCCGGCCAAGGATGGAGGATGCTGTCCCAGGATGAGTCCCTAGAGGATCTCCTGTTTCCCCCCTTCTCCGGCACAGCCCAGATTCCCCAACTAGCCCCCCATTCCAAGGCCATACCACCCCTGGCTGGGACCCGTAGCCCAGGACTTGCCGTGCTGCTGGCATCTGTCCCAATCTTCTGACAGGAAGAAGGGCAGACTCAATCCAAGGCCGAAGGACTGGTGAGACTGGACCAACCCCAGGGAAATCCTAGGGGTCCCAAAGAGAAGTGGCGCGGCCCTGGAGAGCAGAGGCAGGGCTGGGGCACATTCTCCCGGGGAGCCACTTAACCATCTTCATAGGACGGTGCTGAGAGCCCTGGCCTGTAAGCAGCGTGACCGGCACAGCCTCAGTTTCCTTCTCTGTTAAGCGAAGGGATTGGACAAGGTGATGGCCCAGCTTTGACACACGTGAGGCCCACACATTTGGCATAAAAACACCACTTTGGGGACCTCCCTGGTGGTCCAGTGGTTAAGCCTCCGCACTTCCATTGCAGGGGGCACGAGTTCGATCCCTGTTTGGGGAACTGAGATCCCGCATGCTGCAGGGCATGGCCAAAAAACAAATGCACAAAAACACACCACTTTGCCCCAGTCGCTCTCCACCACAGACGGGAGGGCCTGCTCCTGAGGCCGCGTGCCCCCAACTTGTGCAGAGATGGTAGGCAGGTGCACCAGAAGCCCAGCCCCTGCCTCGGGGCTCAGGGAGGGAGGGGGAGGGGGCGGCAAGTGCTCGGGGCAGATGCAGTGGTCGTCGGACCCACTCTGGGCACCTGCGTAACCCAAGTCCAGGGCATGGGGCAGCCCAGACGGCAGAGACCAGACAGAAAAAGTGCTGGAACACTGGGAGCACCGCCCCGCCCAGCCCTTACCTCCCGCGCCCTCAAAGTGCTTCCTCACTGCAGAGGAAGCTGTGACAGCCTGGGACCAGGCTTCCTCCTGGCCCAGTCACATCCGCTGCTCTCTGAGACCCCCAGGCTTGCGGCGGCGCCCAGACCGTGGGCGGGGGGGCGGGGTTTGAGAGCCTGGCCCACCCGGCTGGCCACTGTCACTTGCCCGCAACAATTTTGGCTTCGGTGGGGCCTTCCCCAGAAAAGAGCCTTCAGCCCCAGGATACCTAGGAGACCCCCAAAAGGCCCTGGGTAGAGAGAGGGGGTCCAGCATGGGGTAGCAGGGGTGCATATCCAAAGAAGCAGCGCAGTAGAGAGTTCACATCACCCGAGGCACCCACGGGTTGACCGACCCAGGGTCTGAACCACCACTATGCCCACACCCAGTAGCCTAACCCCTTTAGCAGCAGCCAGGAGCTGGCACATGTGGCAGAAACACAGACTCAGAAACTACAAGCTGGTGCCGCTGGGGAAGCCGGTTTCCCCACAGAGGGTGGAGCTGGGCACGGCCGGCTGAGCCCGTCCCGGCAGCCACGGCCAGGGTGAGCCGGGCCTCCCCCGCGGGTCCCCCGCCAGAGCACTACCAGGGCACACGCTGGCAGGGTGCCCCCTCCCCAGGCTGCATGGGCCCACTGTCCCCTCCCCACCTGCCCCCACGTGTGCTTCCGCGGTCCTGAGGAGTCTGGCTCCGGCACCCGCCTTCCCTCTCTACCTGCCCGCCACCGACACACCAGCAGGTTTCTGAAAGCTCCCCTGGTCTTGCTAACGGTGGATGGATTCTCCATACCCCCGGCTGTGAGGACCTCATGAGCCGGAAGCAGGCAACTGACACGAGGACTCAGCCTGCGTGTGGTCAGAAATGGGGACAGAGAGAAGGGAGGGGTCCTTGGAGGAAGGGAAACAGGCTTTCTGAACCACGAGACATGGTCAGGAAGTTTACGGGACCCCCACGGGGAGGGCCTCAGGCCCCCTGAACAGAGGAAGGGAAGAAACCACCACCTGGCCCAGAGGTTCCGCCCAGCTGGCGGTGGGCAGGCCGTCTGCAGGGAAGGGAGGCGGCCAGGGCCGCTGGGACCTGCCTGTCCCCCGCTGAATCACAGGATGTCGGGGTGAGGGCAGGGGGCAAGGAAGTGGCCTCTCTCCCTGGCTTCCCTGTCACAGAAACCGAAACCCGATGTTTCCCTCCCCACAGCCCTTCTGGGAACTGGGTCATTTTTAGAAAGCAGCAAGGAGGAAGCTGGCCCTCGCCCAGGGTGCAATCCCCAGCGGAACCCCTGGTTCTGCTGATCTCGGAGCCACTCCGGCTGCCACGAGGCCCGGCAGGAGCAGCTTATGTAAAGACTGCAACCTCGCCCAGGCTCCCTACCCGCTGGCCCGGCACGGCCGGTGACTCACCAAGGACGCCTCCCTGCCCTGGCAAGAGCCGGTAGGGACAGGAGCGCCGGGCAGGAGGGAGCAAAGGCACCCAGCTGGGGGTCACGCAGGATTAGGAAGACAAAAAATGGACAGACCAAGAGGGAGGGAAGTAAAGTGCGCCAGACCCAATCATCAGAGCTAGAGAAGGCAGGGGGGGAGGGGACACCTATCTATCTCCAGAAGCCGGCAGGAGCCGTCCCTGTGGCCGCTCTCCCTCCTGGCAAGCGGCCACTTCCCTAGAGGTGCCAGTCGGCAGACACACTTCACAGGCTGCCCCAGCGCACGCCCACCCTTCAGCCCAGCTGCCCCCAATGGAGAGGAAAAATGAAACCACCTGTGGGTTTGTGCTCCAGCCGCAGGGAGAGGCCCCACTCACAGAGGGCCCCGGCCTGGGGAGGCCCCGATTTCTCCTCCACCTTGAACGGCTTTGCTCAAACTCTAGAAGATAAAGAACCTGGGGACAGGTTCAGGGACCTGGTGACCTTCCCCATCAGACCCCAGGCTCTGGGCTCCCCGTGACCCAGTTAGAGTGGCTTGGGCATCACGGCCGACCCCAGACACGGGAAGTGGGAGCTGGGCACATGCTCTTGGTGGCAGCCTGGAACCCAGTGTCCGCCAAGAGCGTGTGGGTGCGAGGAGGATGGGTTGCCATGTTCACAGCCCCACTCTGTTCCGCCCGGAGGCTTTCCCAGGACCACACGTCAGCGGGGCTGGCAGCGATGTGAATACCCCCATATTCTGTGGGGACCCCAATTCCAGAAACCAGCTGGGAGTGCCCGAGCCCCATGTCCCCACGGCCTAAGGTGTGGCAGCTGCTGGCAACATACAGGGACAGGCATTATTGGAAGTGGAAGCGGCACCAGATCTCCCCAACTGACCACAATGCTGGGCCCTGCCCACCGTGGTGCCCTCCCAGAGGCCCCTCTGGGAATCTCTGGACTCCAGAAGCTGCTGATGGAAGCAGATCAGGGGAGAGCAGCTGAGCAGAGACCTTCCAGACCCCAGGCAGTAGCGGCTTCCAGAGCCTGGGGGCCGATGGCAGCTTAAGGACAACAGCGGGAAGGGAGCAGAGTGGCCGGGTCCTAGGATTTTCTACCCAGCAGCCCGGCCTCCTTTGGGAAGGTGGCCTATTCTGTCCCAACCCTGCTGTTCCCTGAGCATTGCTGTGAAGGACAGGAGTCAGAAGTGGCCCCTAGGGGCCCAGAAGCCTCTGGTCCTTCCAGGCCAGACACCAGGGCACAGGAGGGATCCTGGAGAGGAATCAGCACCTCTGGGCACCACGCTGTCCCAGGTGTGAGGTGAACCAGGCTTTGCTCCAAACACTCATGAGGATTTGCCTCTCTTGGGATCTTGAAGTAGTGGGAGTGGGGTTTCCACTGGACCTTGGAACAGGCAGAGGCTTAGCACATGCTCAGTGGTGGGGGAGAATGGGGTGCAGCATGGGTGGGGGAGCAGGAGAGGCCCACCTCACTCCTGCTGGGGCTCCCACACCCCGAGGTGCGACCAGGCTGTTTCCAGACACGACTAACGTCGGCACACAGAGCAGGCCTCTGTCCCGTGCTTGCAAGGGTGGAGTCCACCCAACTTCCACCCACTCCTCGTGGCCTGGCTCCAGACAATGAAAACACTGTCCAGCTGGGGGAGGCACAGGGTCAGAGTCCCAGCCCTGACCGCTGTGTGATCTTGTGCAAGCCGCTTGGCATCTCTGAGCCTCAGTGTGTTTATGCATAAGACGCTAAGGAGCCTCCCAGGTGTCTGAAATCTAGGTGGCTTTGTCACCATTAGCCAGGGGTCACCCTGGGAGCACAGGCAGCTGAGGGACAAAGTCTGGCCATATCTCACAGAGAGGTAAGCACCTCACGCAACGTCACTCATCCGGAAGTCAGGCCCTGGGCGGCCCTGAGTCCCTCACCTCAACACACTCAGGACAGGGCGCTGGGTGCCCCTCACTGCTGGAGGCCCAGGTCGGCTGTCAGCAGGGAGGGAACATGCCAGGCAAACACTTTTCAGCTTGTAAACAGTCATTAAGGAGCTAATAAACCAGACTTCCCAGAATCCTGCCCTGGGGCTTTGCTCCTTCCCTGGAAGAGGCTGGCCCCAGCCCCAAAGGCTGCTGCGAGGGCTTCGGGGTACATGGACGTGGGCCATCCAGGCCACTCAGACCAAGGGAGCTCTCCACACACGTCACTAACCCCATCCCCCCATCTTGCTTTGGAGCTGTATGGGTTCTCTTGTTGAGAAATGAGGGCTGGGGAGCTGGAGACAGGGCTTAAACCCTGGCTTGGCCACCTACCCGCTGGGAGACTGGGCAAGTTATCACTTCTGAGCATCAGTTTCCTCTGCTGCAAAATGATATGATGCAGCCCCCATCCCCAGGGATGACACGAGATCATGAGTGAACAGTGCCTGGGACACAATTGGTGGCTGGTAACTGGTAGCTTCTATTATTCCCAGCTGACCTCTGCCACCATCGCTCACTTGGTTTCTACATCTGAGCCAAGAGTTCCAGAGGTGACAGATCTCTGTTTGACAGGTGGGGAGACTGAGGCTCAAAGGGGTGAAGTCCCCTGTCCAAGGTTACATAGTTACGTGGTGGGGCTGTGGCCTCCTGCCACCTCGGAACTGGTCAAGCAAAGTAGCAAAAGAACGGGCAGTGGGGTGGTGACTCAGACGCTGCGGACGGGTTTTAGGTGCACAGGCCTTTGACTCATGAGTCCCTCCCAGCCCGCCAAGCAGAAATGACATCACCTAAGGCCTGATGCCACTTCCCAGCTTATCTAAGGACTTTCACAAGCATCCTCTCACCCTTGTCCTTAACTCACGATTGTCATTGGCTGATAAAGCCATGAGCTAAACAGCCAGGGCTCAGGCCAGACTGCAGTTCCAAGTCCTGCCTCTGCCCGGTCCCACGGCAGCTCTCCCACCTTCTCTTCCAGGCCTTTGGGGCCCACACTAGAGGCATGACCTGGGGAGAGCCACCAGGAGAGGGAAAAGGTGCTTCTTGCTGGCAGCCGGGCAGGACCACCTGAGGACCCTCTCGCCACAAGCTCCGGGGCCACACGTGGGAGGCAGAGAAAACCAAGCTTACCCCGCTCCCACCTCCTCCGAGAAGCCCGGCCAGAGGGAGCAAGGGCTGAAGGACACGGCCTCCACGACCACCACCCCCACCGTCATGACGCACATGCTGGAGGGCGGGAGCCAGCAGTTCACAGCCTGATCCCCCACTCCCAGATGGAAACCCACCCACTGTTCCCATGGCCTCCGTGGTGCTGGGGGTCCCCTCCCCCCCAGACACAGCCACTTCTGCAGGATAACAGCAGTGCTGCCGTTCTGCAGTATGTTCTCACCTCCTCCTCCCAACAGCTCAAGAGACGAGGTAAGACCTCTGGCATCACCATGAGTCTGTGCCAGGGCACACAGACACGTTCCTGTTACTGTGACAGCTCGCCCACTGCATTCTTAGTGCAGCCGGGCACCTGCCCAGGCTTTACATGAGTCGCCACTGGAATCCTCACAGCAACCCTCCCAAGCAGACTCCTGTGAGCCCACTGGGGAAACTGAGGTACGGACTACTTAAGTGACCCCCATCCTACTGACCACACTCTCATAGCCCAGGTGCCTGCCAGCCTTTGGGCCTGGCTCCCCAAGCTGGGAATCACCCCCTCCCACTGCTGCCCCTCACCCTCCAGACCAGCGACCCTGATGGCCCACCTCGTCTGCCCTGCCCGCTTAGCTCCAAACACTTTCCTAGAGGGGCTTGGAATGTGCCTTCCCGTAGCTTTGAAACCTCAAGTCTTGCATCTGGGTCCCTGGATAAACTTACCGCGTGAGGGAATGTGGACACAGTGGCTGTCTATACTGCCCTGAAGTTGAGAAGAAACTGTTTCCTTTATGCCAGTCCTGAGAGCTGCCCTTGCACGGCAGCCTCCCTGCCGGGGTCCCCACGCGCTAGGTCAGCCTGCACTGACGTCCCCGCCACTCCTCCCCCGGCCTGGCCCAGCCGGATGGGAAACTGGGAGCAGAGGCGTGAGCTCACTCTGGAAATCCCCACTGGCCGGGGCAAAACTGAGGCCTGCTCCAAAGTGGGTGTCACAGAGACCCAAGGGGAACCGCAACCTGGAGAGTACATCTCCCCTGATGCTGCACCAGGTGGCAGGCAGGGGGCCGGGGCCACCCCAATCCCGACCCCAAGGGAGGCGCCAGGTGGCTCATCCCAGTCACATGCACAAACACACACCCCTGACTTCCTGCTCTCATCTGGGGTCTCGCCTGGGGACAAGTGTGCACAGCAAATCAGCAGGAACCCTGTGACGAGCTCTGGCCACAGTGAAAACACCACCACTGACCCAGAGCTGGGCTCGGACCCCAGCTGCTCCCACAGTGCATTTCCGGTGTGATTATTCCTCCTCTTCGAGGGCCAGGAGTCCCCATCTAGGCAATGAGCGTGTGCCTGTGTGCATATGTGCGTGTGGGTTACACCAGGTATGGCTGCAGCTCAGAAATGAGCACATCAGGTAGGAGTCACCTGGTACTCTTGCTGGCAGGTGGCAGAAGGTTTTAGGGCTGGGCCTGGGAACAGACAGCCCAGGTTCAATGTCAGGCCCTGACAATTACTTCCTGAACAGCTCTGTCCAAGTCTGAATGCTGCTTTGTGCCTTGAGAGGCACACAACAGATGGGGGTCACTATTATGGGGTTGTTTTTTTTTTTCAGCTGAACAGATGAAAGTCTCACTCCAGCCTTTTAAACTTAAAAGACCAAAAGAAGCCCCCAAAAGCAAAAGTCAAACCAGAAACTGCCACCTGCCCTCTGACCCCACCAGGGTTCCCAGGTCAGGAGGCCAGGGTCCAGAAGTGAACAGGGTGGTGGGGGGAGGGAGGGATGGATATTGTCAGGAAGTGGGAAGGGAGGGCAGTGAGGTGGCCTGGGCTCCTGGGCATGAACGGCTGCTTCATCCCATCCTGCCCCTCTGTGACAGCCCCTCGCCCCAATTCCCTACAAAGCGGGAGCATACTCCTTGAGTCCAACCCAAATAATTCAAAGTCATGCCTACCGGGGGAACCCCAGGCCTGTGGCTCTGCTGTCCTCCATCTCTCACTGGTGCTGAGCTAACACCACGAGCAGGGGGCGCATCACTCCACCAGCAGCTGGGCCCACCCCGGGCCTCTTGTCTCACCCAGGGTTCCCACAGCCACGGTGGAACTCCCTACTGCAGGAGGGAAGCAGATTGGGGAGCCGCAAGGAATTAGGCGCCCTGTTATTCCTCAGATGTTATTTTCCTGGTGTAAGTGACTGAGGAGTCAGGTGTGGGTTCAGAAGGGAAAAATTACAGCTGGTCACATGGCGTCAGGCGTCCAGGCCCACCTAAGCAATCCAGCGTTGGGAAAACCTATGAGAACAGAGCTCGCGCCCCAGCCCCCCCACAGGGGTATTTGACCTCCAGGGTTGCCCTGGCTCACCCTGCTCGGGAGGTACCCTAGGGGCGAAGCACTCCAGGACAGAGCTGTGAGAGGGCCCCTGTTCCCAGCGCCTCCCCCAGAGCACCGAGAACTGCCTCCTGCAGGGCTCGTGGTTTAAGCAGGGAAGAGGCCGGCTCGTGGCACCAAGGGAGGCCTACTGCTAGGGCGGGCGTAACTGCCCTCACACCTCCTTACCGCTTATCTCATTTAGGCTTATTCCAAGTTCCTCCTCTAACCCCTGGGGAAACTGAGGCAGGGAGGGGCAGTCAATGAGAAGTAACTTGGTGGCCCGGGTACTGCACCAGGGTTGCTCAACCTCAGCACAGCACTACTGACACTTTGGGCTGAGTAATTCTTCGTGGTGGGAGCTTCCCCGTGCACTGCGGGGTGTTTAGCAGCATCCCTGGCCTCTACACCCTAGATCCCCTCCCCGGAGTTGTGACAACCAAAAATGTCTCCAGACACTACCGAATGTCCCCTGGCAGGCAAAAGTCACCCCCTGCTGAGGACCACTGCTTTAAAAGAAGCTTCACGGGCTTCCCTGGTGGCACAGTGGTTGAGAGTCTGCCTGCCGATGCAGGGGACATGGGTTTGTGCCCCGGTCCGGGAAGATCCCACATGCTGCAGAGCGGCTGGGCCCGTGAGCCATGGCCGCTGAGCCTGCGCGTCTGGAGCCTGTGCTCCGCAATGGGAGAGGCCACAACAGTGAGAGGCTCGCGTACCGCAAAAAAAAAAAAAAAAAAAAAAAAGCTTCACTTTCCACTCTTTGCTCTGCTTTACCTACAGCAAGTGACAGTAACATAACACAGACTCTGGGCTCATTATGCCACCCACACAGGGTCCTAAATCTATAGCCATTGGGAAAGAGAAGCCAGTCCACGTGTGGGGTCAAACCCGCAAGCCCTCCCCTCCTTAGACACTCCCTCTTAGGGGCTCCAATTCGAGGCCTCCCCCTTGGCCTTTCACCCAGTTAGGCTGAGACCTGGACTCCCCTCTTCTCTGGGGTGGTGGGTTTATACTCTAGGGACATACTCCTCTCTAACCCAACACAGTGCCCTGGGGGAACGGAGGAGGGGCAGCCTTTCCAAGCCCCTCTGTCCGGAAGTCAGGAGTCCTGGGTCCAATTTCTGAGCTCTGGTCCAGCCTGGCTGTGAGCCCACCCTCCCGCACCTGTTTCCACCTCAGCTAGACTGAATGGACAAACTCCGCCCCGACCGCGGCTGCTCACCCAGGAGAAAGGGGAGGGGAGGGGAAGGTATGAATTCCAGGCGCTTCTGGGAGGAAGGCGGGACTGCGCGGTCCTGCCCTGGGGCGGTCCCCTCTCTTCCTCCCGGGACTTTAAACTTCTGCCCAATCGGCATGCCCCCACCTCTGGTGACCCGTGGCCCAGGGACCCCTGAGGCGTCTTGTCCGAGCTGAGTCCCAGGGGCCGGGAGACCCGGTCCAGCGGCCCCGTTCGAGTAGAGCCCCGGCCTCTGGCCTCGGGCTCGGCCCACGTGGGGCCCGAGTGACCCGCAGCGCCGGCCCCTTCGCCGGCCGCGCACCGCCGCCCCAGGGCATGCTCGGGCGCGACCCCACGGCCCCTCCGGGGCCCGGAGTCCGGCTGCCGCGAACCCGGCCTCGCCCGTCGCCCCGCGCTCACCTCCCTGCGGCCCCAAGTTCCCGGGACTCGGCTCCTAGCGGCGCCGGCTGGCGCCTGGGCGGTGGCTCCTGGGGGCGGGGCCCCAGCGCTCCGCCTCTTCCCTACCTGCGCGCGGGCGGGAGGGCGGGGCCTGGCGCCGGGGGGCGGGGCCCGTGGGGCCCCGCTCGGTCCCAGGCGCAAGTGTCCTGCTCTGCTGCTCCCGGCTCGCGCCGCCCTTCCGCGGTCGGCCTAGTGGTGTCCCCTACTGGGCAGAGCCCTATTTTCCGCCGGAGCTGGTCTCTTCCGGGCGCCGTCCTCTCCTCCCCCGACAAAGCGTATAATCTAGGTCTGAAGTACCATCATCAGGTCAACCCCCAAGAAGAACCCCTCCAATAAATGACAGCCACCTTCCATAGCCCTCCCTCCAGAGCCTTCATCCTTAGGCCAAACGGGCCTGTTCCCTCGAAACTTTTAGCCCTCACCCTTTCCCTGAAACACATTTGGAGGGTCTCACCTACAAGTCCTGCTGCAGCTCCCGCCTCCGGGACGCCTTCTCTGATCTCCGCCACTGCCCTCGCCTCTCCTCTAGAGCGAACGCGCCCTCCTCCGCATCCTCCCGAGGCGGAGGCTCCTTCCGAAGCTGAGCCCAGGTATTGCTCAACTTCCCCCGCCCCCACCCGCCCTCGGCACTAAGCGCAGAGCTGGCGCAGATGACAGAAGGGTGCCTAGGCTTTGCTACTAGGAGGAGCCCTCACTGAGTGCCCGTGTGGGCGGCGGGGTCTCTGGAGGAGTTACAGGAGTCTCCTTTAGGGCAGACCCGGTAAAAACCCGCGATGCCTCTGTCCCCACGACACAGACCTTCCCGATGGGGCAGAACCTTGGTTCACACGGGTGTCTGCAGCGGACGCAGAGGAAAGCGCTCAAGATCTGGAGATTCGGCTGCGGGGTCAGCCTCCAGGACGGGGTCGCCTGGCTCAGGCCCTAGCCCGTCTGAGGCAGTTCTCAACAACGTAGTGACCCAGGTCCGGCCTTCTCACCTGTGAAATCACGGGCGGTGGGGTCTCTACAGCCAGCGGAGCTGAGTTCAGATCCTGACTCTGCCACTTACTGTCAATACCTATGTGGCCTTGGACAAATCCTTCAACCTCCCTGGGCCTCAGGCTTCCTCCTCTTTAAAATGGGGGTAAAGGGAATTTCGTGGCGGTCCAGTGGTTAGGACTCCGTGCTCCCACTGCTGGGGGCCTGGGTTCGATGCCTGATCGGGGAGCTAAGATCCTGCATGCCGCACAGAGCGGCCAAAACCAAATAAATAAATAAAATGGGGGTGAAAATAGGCCCTGTCTCTTGTAAGAAGCCCCTTGAAGGGCACGTGGCACGGGCTCATAACTGTTAGCAGCTGCTATTGTAACTACTGCTGTTGTTACTATTATCACAGGAGGACCCTAATGTCTCCTCAACTTTGAGCCAGTCTCTCTACTTGCTCTCAGCCCAGAGAAGCTCAGCTTTGATTCCTGATCTCCCTCCTATGCTGCAGCCTCTCCCCTAGCCCTGCTGCTCCCCTGGGGTGGGAAGAGGCATAGTCCCCATGGCCCCAGGCGCCCACCCCTGTAATGTCCCTCAAGCATCTGCCCAGCAGCCGGGGCCACCTTCCTGCACCTTCCTGCTCCCAGAGGCATTATCCACAGGACCCACCTAACTGGGACCTGCTGGGTGGGTGGGGCCCTGGCTGACCCCTGCTGGTGCCCAATCACTCCGTCCTTCTGTCCTTCCCACCACTCGGCTGGGGTCTGATTACCCAGGTGACCCCTTCTCCCTCCTCCTAGCCTCCTGCTTCAGATTAGATGAACAAAACCATTGCGGGGGGGGGGGGCCAGGGGGGTGAGACCTGGGGTGAGCTCCAAGGTCCAGATGCCCCTTTCTTAGCCCTGGGCAGGTTCTTATCTCCCCCCACCCCCGCCCTAGCCTTGGGGAGGTGTGGCTGGCCTGGAGAAGCAGAGTTTGGAGTGAGACTCAGGCCTGGCAGGAGGGGGACAGGGTCTGGACCTGTTGGGACCAGAATCAGGCGGTGGTGTTGGTCTCAGGGTGCGTCAAGACCCTGGCCCTTTAAGGAGCTCCAGACCCCCGCCGCCCCACCCTCCCGGTGTTTATCGCTGACCTGGATGGGGGTGGGAGGTAAGGAAACAGAAAGAGGGGGAGGGCCTCCGGAGTGCTGCGGACATCCAGAGAAAGGCATCTCGCCTCCTCCCCTCCCCAAGGGCAAAGCTGGAGGATTGCTCCTCTGTAGCACGGGCAAGGACCATTTATTGTGCACCCACCGCATCCGCATCCCGGGAAGCTGTGGGGTGCAGAGAGGACAAGGCCAGGGCCCACATGCAAAGAGCTGGTACTCTGTAGGGTAGATGGAGTACAGGAGGCACTATGACGGGAAGATTAAGGCAGCTAGCCATCCCGAGTCCTTTCCGTGATCCAGGTGCTGTGATAGTTTATCGCATGTTATCCTTGAGACAACTCCGGAAGTGATACCATGATTATCATCTCCATTGTAGGGATGAGAAAACTGAGACAAAGAGAGATGTAGGGAGAGCAGCTGGGATTTAAACCTAGCCACCATCTGACTGTAGACTCTGGCAAATGTTCCACACACCTGAGCTCTGTGCTCACCCCTGGAACTCCAAGGAAAGCTCTGTAGGAGGCCCAGCAGGGGAGGGATTCCTGTGGGGGGGGGATGTCATGGATTCTCCCCATAGGAACATGGCACACTGCCCTGCCACATGGGTGGAGGGATGCTTACCACAGCCTTGGCTGCAATAGCACCTGTCCAGCCCGAGGGAAGGGTCTTAAATAGAGCAGGGGGATAATTTGTACTAATGTCACCCAGCTGTTAAAAGCAGGGAGCCCACTCTCTCTGTGCTCATTTGGAATACGTCCAAGATACGTTAAGTGGGAAAGAGCAAGTGTGTGTTCTGTATAATTCCATTTACCTACGTTTAAAGAGAATATACACGTACATGCTGGTAGAGCCACAAAAACTTTCTGGAAGTACGTGTGTGCAATGACCTCGCATTTGGAGGAGGGGGATGAAGACAAAAACAGAGACTTGCTTTTTATTTCGTACCGTGTGCACATATTACTTTTATAACTGACTGAAAAACAGTCTAAAATTTTCTTCTAATAGGTGTGAAGTCGTAGGGAGGATCTTGACAGAGAGGAAAGAGGAAAGGGAGTTTCGGGTGGAAAGAACAAGAAGGAAGGCACAGGAGTGAGGAATCCCTGGTTACGGCAGGGAAACGTCTGCTCCCGTGGTTTGGCTGCCTCACAGGATGTGTTGGGAGGATGACAGGCGGCGACAAGTCTGGGAAGGCAGGTGGGCGTGTGCTGGAGGCTCTGATGGATCAGGGGAAGGTGTTTTTATTTTATCTTGTAAGTAATGGAAGATTTTTTGGTTGTTTTTTTTTTTTGGCTGCGTGGCATGTGGGATCTTTGTTCTCCAACCAGGGATCAAACTCACACCCCATGTATTGGAAGCGTGGAGTCCTAACCACTGGACCGTCAGGGAAGTCCCAACGGAGGGTTTTTTTAAACTGGGAAATTGCATCCTAATACTTTACACTCACGGAGCCCTCTGTGAAAAGTGCTTTGTCAGACATGATTACATTTTTAAATCTTGACAGCAATCCTGCAAGGTAGGTAGGGAGAGTTTTACAACGAGGAAACAGGCTTTGTGACTAAAGGCCACACGCTCAGTTTTAAAATGAGAAGCTTTGTCCTTTGTATGCACTGCTTTGCAGGAAGGCAGCAGAGAGGAGCCGCCACCGGCCGGTTCCCCAGCTCTGCAGAATGACAGGCTTCCTTTCATATCTGAGCAATCTCGAGGACCCCTCGTGACATTCAGATCAAGAAGATGAGATATCATGACCCTCGAGAGAAAAGGGCAGAGGACCCTGAAATCATACGTTCACAAACTCAAAAAGGCTCTGATGACATACCTTTCAAGGATGTCCCT